TCATGTGGAATCCAACTTCCTTTGGCCACTAGGCTACATGACCTACCCAAACATAAATATTTTAATATACATTTATATTGGCCACATGTGTTTTCCATTCCATTTATAGCTAGAAGTCCCATCCCCAGATCATCTTCTGATAGTAGGCCATCTTAAGACCAAGTGCAGGCTCATCACTAAGAAAACAGAAATCTGTCTTAGACACTTTCCCCATGTCTATTGCTCTTCTCCTCCATACCTGATTTCAACTGGTTCAAATGTCTTTTCTTTATACATAGACATATACATGTGTTCAAGAGAAGAGATAGGCAAGGAGAAAGATGAAAAGAGAAAAAAATGCATATATAAAAATGTATGTGTATATATAAAAATGTATGTGTGTGTGTGTGCATATCTCTCTTGTAACATCTGGCTGTCACAATTTATGCCACATCCACCCTACTATTTCCTGAGCTGCTTTAAAAAGTGCTACTGTTATCAGAAGTGGCTTTATGATTCTATTCCTGAGAAAAGTAAGATCTTGGCTCTTGGCTCCAGACCAGAAAGAAAAAGTAGCTTATTCTATAACTATTGGTCCCAGACTCAGCAGCATTTGAACTTCCACAACTTTAGGGTGCAAATAAACATGCTAAGCTAAGGTTTCCTGTTGAGGCATTGTGAAGTTGAATTACTATTTTAAGAGGCTATGAAGTTGGCAGCCAGAAAGCACTGGAAGAGGGAAAAATATTCATGATGCTGACAGATAAAGAAGGAGAGAAAGCAAAATGCAGATTGTTAAGGAGATTTAAGAAGCCTCCCTCCAGTGGTGCCATTTATAACATCTCCCAAAACATGTAAGATAGATGCCTTTCTCACTTACGCGTGTACAAGACCAGAATTGAGGGCAGAGCCTGCATGACAAAATGGCTGAAGATTTGCAACAACCCAGCTCAAGACTGTAGAGACCAAGCAGCAATAATCCACCTCAACTTGGGGAGGTTTTCAAGCTGCTAACAGCTGGACAAGGTCTTAGACTGGTGGATGGAGGGAAGGCAGTTCAATGAAGGAGACTTGTGTTTAGTGGCTGATGATAGACCTGGGTTGAGCCTGATGCTGTCACCTATTCTATACGTTGGGACACATTTTTTCACCTCTGAGCCACAATATCTTCATCAAGCACTTGAAGAAATAAATCATAATACTGATAAAGAGGAGAATCATGAGGAGGAAGACAGTAGACCGGGGCACCACAAAAGTATCCAGCATGCTGTTAATCAGACACTCTCCCATTTGTACCTGATAACTACCCTGGCCTTACAGATTAAACACCAACCTAGTGAGATGGATTTCAAAGGGCTAGGGTTTTAGAACTAACACAGATACTATTTGTCTTAGAGAGGAAAGAGTATACATGTTTTAAAAAATGGGAAAATGTTGGACTTGATTATGTGGAATGAACTTCAGCTTTGATGGCAGATGATCCTGTCTGTATTTGATTATTATGTCTATCTTGTTCCTAGCCCATGGAAATACAGAACATTTAAAATAAAAATCTGCCTCAGTCACTTGGCATTTTTTTTCATGACATTTCCTGTTGTTTTTTTTTTTCAATCTCTTCCCTAATTGCTGCTATCACACTGCCACATAGTGGGGAGGGGGTTGGTAAAATGATTGAGTGAGCTCATTTGCAAGGTAGTGCCTCCAACCTACTAATAATCTCTTTCCTACATGGCATTTCCAGTTTGAGAATATACCTGGGAGTACTAACCATGCTTAATTTAATAAAACAGGATGTAGCAATAATAAAAAGTAATAATAGTTAATGTTTATATAGTGTTGATGACTTTCCAGGTACTGTTTGAGGCACCAATGGTATGAACTCATTAGATAACCACATTATCTCTACCTGGAGTTATTATCATTATTCTCATTTTACAGATGAGGAAACTGGCATGGAGACTTTAGGCAATCTGGCCAAGGTCACGCAGCTAGTAAGTGGCAGAGCAGGAATTCAGACTCTACACCCATACTTTCAACCACTATAATTTCAGGTCAGACAGAAGTAGATTAAAATCTTTGACAATGAACATCGACTCAGTGTATCGCCTTCAACAAGTGGCATCACTGCGCTCAGCCTCAGTTTCCTCATCTCCAGAACAGGGCATACTACTACTTAGGCATGAGCTTGCTGAGAATACTCAATAGATATCTATATCACCTACCTCTTACAACACAAAGAACATGTGTCATGCTTAGTACATGTGCTTTTCCATTTCGAGAGTGCTTTTATTGCAGTGACATTCCAGCCACTTTTAAATGTTGTAAGTGAAGAACCTTCCAGAAGCCCCTCAAATTCCATCCACTACTAATTGTTTAATTCCCACTGTCAGAAAATAAACAAAAGGGCAAGCAAAACTGTGGCAGACCTGGTAGTATTTTCAGGAATCATTTATTTGTAAGGCTTCGTTGGATTTTGAATGTTGCTGTCCCATTGATATGCATTCAGAATAAAATTCTTTATGCCCTCTCTCAGCCCTCCCCAGCCTTGGCCATCTCTGGCAATGGCATTTGACAAGGACCACTTCATCTAAAAGAATCATGTCACCAAAATTTGTTTGAGCAGCAAAACCCTATTACTAACCCTTGTCGGATAATCTATTTTTCAATCTTTCTCCTAAACTCCTAAACATACCAAAGTGCTGATTTTCTTTTTGAATGTCTCCCGTGCTTGTGCAGATGTTTTTTACAGTGCCAGCCAGGACTCCTTGGAGGTCCTTCTCCGGTGCTATGCCTATCAGCTCAGAACGTATCAGAATCCATGAGAAATTTAGCTCATCTACTACCAGCCCCATAAATGGAAATGAACTTACTTGAGGCAGTTGTCTCTGTAACAGATCTCCGAATGCTCTTCCTGCTTTATCTTGGGGCTTCTGGAAACCAGCAATTCTATAGCCCACAAGTTTAATCTGCTTTGGCAGACTACTACTTCTTAGAATGGAGACTTGAGAACTGACCATGTAGTATGATGGGTCCTCTAAAAGGCAACCATATCCTGAGTGCCTGCCTTTACTGTTTGGATCAGTTTGTAATCTGTAACTCAGCTGTGACACATCACTCCTCGTACCTACCCATTATTTCTCACAGAAGTTCCCACCGGCTCATTTGCAGAATCTCTGAAAGGCTAGATAAATTATATCTTTAAAACCTCCAGGGGCTACTATTGGGTTAACCCTTACAAAGGGTTCTCACTGTTCAGATGGTCATTTATTTGAAACCCTGCTGCTCCCGACCTTTGCAATTTACACACACAAAAATTATTGCATCTTGCTTTTGTTAAATGCCTTGTGAATCTATCGCCCACCCTGGGGAGGATATGGACTCTTAGTTATGTCCAAGAGGAACCCAACATTCTTGTATACAGCTCTGCACCCTCTGAGAACAGAATTTGATCGCAATGATCTATTTCATGTTCTCACCAGCCTCTCCATTCCTATGTGTGGATAGCAGGCAGGCCCAGCAATTTACCACTATTCTCACACCCAGTCTTATTCAATTTATTCTCCTTAAGGCCATCAGCAATCTCCAACAGATAATTCCCTTGGGAGACAAAGTTCCCTTTCACCCTCATACCAAAAAAAAAAAAGAAAGAAACTAATTTAACTTTTCCTCAGCCTCATTATCTTCTTAATTGTCTTCTTTGCCCCCTCGGTAGCAAGGACTGTCTATGGATTTCTAGGCAGCCTTTCCAGGTTGCTGCGTTCCAGGAGGACAGTGCATTTCATGTTAACACTTAATCACTTTGATATTATGAGTTGCAACAGAGGCACAGGATCACCATCTATCCCACTCAGCTACCTTGTCTTGAGTCACAATCTGTGCTCTGAGGTATGGCTTCTTTTAGATTTGCTCATTTTTGAGACAACGTCTAAAATGATGAAGCATGGCGGCTACTGTGTGTATCTTTCTCTGCTTTTGCAAGAACTTTGTCATGCAATGTTTTCCATGGAGCTGGGCTAAACACAGTTGATCCTTCTCAACACAGAAGAGAAGCCTAGAGAAAGAAAGCTATGCTCTTAAGGTGATTCAGATTTACGGTGAAAGAAGCCAAGATGAGAGTCAGGCACCTTGAATCCCTGTACCCTTATTGTATGAAATTTGAATGAATGAAAATATAAAATGAAAAGATAAACATCTGATCTCCAAGAGCTTATCTTCCTTGTCATCCTCCTCCATACTACTCTCACTACTTATGTGTCTTCCTTTTGTTTTTCCCTTCCCCAAACTCTCATAGAACTTCTGAAGTGCAAATGATCAGTCTATCATGAATGATAATTATTTATGGATTTGTCTGTCCCTTCTTTGAGACTGCCAGCACCTCATAAGATTCATCGCCATGCCCCCTAAGTCACTTTCTTCAAGTCCTTTCCTAGACAAGATATGTAATAAACATGTGCTGACTCAAACTGATTCCAGCTTTCATCCTTTTCCACCAGACTTCATTTCAATTACCTTCTCCCCAGGTATTCATTCTCTTCCTCCCTTTCTATATATTTTCTAAGCTCCTGTTTGCCCCTCCCTTTAGACATGGGTATTTCCAAGGTAAGGTACTCAGAATAAGACTATAAATTAAGATGAGAAGAACTTGTTGAAAAGACTTATTGAAAAATGAAAATGAAGGGACCAACCTGTGTGATATAGTTGATTGTGTACCAGACTATGGAGGCGGAAGCCACATGCTTACCTCAGCTCAAGTCCCCAGATCAGCAGCCCTAAAAACACACCGAGAATGTGCCCAGAATTCTGGTGGACTAGAGGACTAAAGAAAGGGAAATATAGCATGACCGAGCTCATAAGATGGGGTTTCTACCCCACTCACTGCTCTCTCTCTCTCTCACATGAAAAAAAAATCTACATGTACACACACACACATATATATGATGTAAACCCACTGAGAGTATGTGGTGATGAACGTCTGTTAATTCCCAAACTCCCAATCCTCAAACTGCCTATTTCTCAACCAGGGAGGTGTAATAACCTTTCACTCCTTCATACAGGGCCTTGTGATCTGGCTCCTGGCTATCTTTCTTAATCTCATGAGAATCTACTCATTCAAAAGCTTCAGCCACACTGGCTTTTAGTCTATCCCTTAGATCTTATAAGCATGATATTAGGTAGTGATGCCATCTTTATTCTTCCCTCTAACTATAATGCTTTTCTTCCACATAAGCATATGGCTGATCCCTCTCTTTTATTAAAAAATCTTGGCTCCAGTATCAGGGAAGGTATCTCCTGACTACACTATCTAAGGTTGTACAAGTCACATCCCTTTCTAGAATATTCCTTTCTAGTATATTACCCCAATCATTTGTTCTTTTGTTTAGTTTTATTTTTTTAAGTGTTGCTGCAAGGCACTTGCACTTCCCAGAGACAGACATGGATGGGGGTGAGAGGCAGTGAAAAGATACCCCCCCCCCAGGGGGGATAGCCATTCTACAATCCCTTCTCCATTCTCCTCTCAAGATTTTGGGCATACACGCACATGTACGTAGTGGGCTTTTTCAAGCTGTCAGGTCTGAGACTTGAACCACAGTCAGCCATGTGGAAACCAGCTACCTTAACCACCATGCCACTGGCTAGCCTGTACAACATTTAATTGTACGAACTTATTTTATCTATGTTTACTCATTTACTATCTATCTCTCCCGACTACAGTATGAGCACCATGAAAACGGGACCCCTTTCATGCTAATATTGGGCTGTCAGAAAAGTCTTGACATATTTTTTTCTGTTTTTCTATGCAAAAAAATGCATCTTGACTTTTCTGACAACCCAATACATTTCAAATGTCTGGACCTGCACTGTTCAATACCATAGTCATTAGTCACACGTAGCTATGTAAATTAAAATAAAAATTAGCACAAATTAAATAAAATATAAAAGGTGGCTACCATATTGAACATCACAAAGAACATTTCTGTTATTACAGAAAGTTCTACTTGACAGCACTGGTTTAAAGTCATGTTTGGCAAACAGTAAGCACTTAATAAATATTCATTGAATAAATAAATGAATGCTCCCTTTTAATCCTCTCTCAATTTCAGGCCCCCCCCCCTTTATGGCTTCTAAGCCTTGAAAGCACTATAAACTAGAGAATGTCCATAGGACAATATCCAACATGGTGGGGATTTACAAATGAATATTACAGGAGACAGGGATGAGAAGATGGCCCTTCTCCTCTGAAAGAGAATACTTGTGGTGATATGATTAAGCACCATAATATGTGAAGAACTGAAAACCAGAAGAGAATTATACTTACGAGGTTACGAATTATTTAGAGGTTTATGGATTAAAGGTAGATTTAGGGTTAGAGTTAAAAAAAAATACAGTTCTAGAAAGCTCTTCAAATACAATGTAGACTAATATGTAGGGTAACTAACTTTCTGTCACTTAGGTACAAAAACTGAGACTGAGTAGCTATGTATTGTAGATATCACAAAAAAGATTCTTGATTTTCAAGTAAGGAGAAAGCTTTGACTATTAAAAATCCTTCAGGGAACCAGCAGTTAGCATAATGGCTATGTCACTGGACTCCCACATAGTCGACCGCGGTTCGCGTCCCGGACCCAGTGGCTTAAAACTCACGCCGGGCACGTGTGCGTGCGTGCCCAAGATCCCAAGAGGAGAATGGAGGAGAAGGGATTGCAGCGTGACCATCCCCCCGGGGGGTGATTTCTCGCTTTCTGTCTCTCTGTCTGTCTGGCGAGCGCACGCGCCCTATAGCAAAAACCTCTCCAAAAAAAAAAAAATCCTTCAGAGGTTTCTTTAGAGGACTCTCTCAGAGGAAACACTGAGATTTTTTGTTCCAGTCACTCCAAGACATCTTCATATCATCAGTTTTAAAGAGTTAATAACATGGCCCGGCTATTTCTGGCATCTATTGAACAACCTGATCCTATCAACCACCCATAACAGTTATTGTTAAACTCAGTAGTACTATAGAAAGAGCAGAGATGCTAAATTAAGGAAGACTTAGGCTGAAATTTTAACTTTGTAGTTATATGACCTTGGGTAAGGGACCTAACCAGCAGGGGCTTCACTTGCCTTTTCTATAAAAGGACTGTATCTGCTGCTGTGTAGGAAGATTAAATGAGAGAACCAAATTAAAGATCCTTGAACACAGTAGGGCAATGTTCACTTCCAAGTAGGGTATAATTTTACCTGTCTGTATCATCGCCAGTATCCCTGTATTGTTGGTATAGCTGGTGTAATTTCAAAGCCATAATTGCAATGCTTTGAGTGAATATGAAGCAACTGTCAAAGAGAAAGTAAGGGAGAGAGAAAAAAAGAGACTACAGAGACTGAACTTGAAATGCAAAGCAAACATTTACAGAACAACAGCAATGTGTCAGTCCCTAAGGGATACAAAGATGCACCTAAGAAGACCATATGGAAAAGGGCAGGACAGATCTATACCTATGGAGCTAAAAAACAGGATGTACAATGACATGAGCTAAAATAGTCTCAGACAAAATTACATAGAAAGACAAAAGAAAAAGAGATCAATTCAAAAATAAGGTCTTGGGAAGACTTCTTGGGCAGATCATTTGAGCTGGACATTAAAATATAGCTAAGGTTTTAAAAAGTGGATGCTGAAGGTGGAAGATGAAGGAAAGTATGGTAAAGATTCTTTATATTAGGGTTAGACTGGAAAAAAATGAAGGGAATTATTTGAAGAATGACATTCGAAGACCCATCTTCTTCACCTGACCCTCTTCTTGACCTTAGTACAGGTGCCAGTAGTTCAAGAGTCAATTTGTTAAGCTTTGAACTTTAGCAAAAGGAAAACAGAAAAGAGAAAGAGCAGTATTAGGTCTAACTTTGGTACCCTGTTCTAAGGTGTTTTCATTTAAGAAATTGGGAGGGGAAAAGAGAGAATCAAATCAGAAAATGTCTCCTCACACAACTAAAGTGCCTTTAGGGCAAAGACCTTTCAGAGAAATAGAGGACTTTGTGGTCAATAACATAAACAATCACAAGCAGTAAGAAAGAGATGTCGTATTTAGCCTAAACAAGGGAGAATGTTTTTATGGTCCCGCTTGAACCGCTGCAAATATATTCATTGCAGCCTGAGCTGGGCCATCTAAACTCAATGGGGGCCCAACAGCTGATTTGGAATCTCTGAGCTGCTTCTCCTTGGTTGAAATGGAGTCACAGCTCCCCCTTCTGGGAGCTAAAATGCCATCCAGCCCTGGAAAATCCTGCATGGAAAAGGCTCTACTGCGGAGGAGCCTAAAAATCCCCAGCTTCTTCGTACTTGCCCGCACCCCAAAATGAGCAACTAGAAGTCTGGATTACACTTTTTAGTGAGCCTGATTCTGATTTCCTAAGAGTCACTTTCACAAAGCTTCCTATTTTCCCTTCCCTGGGGCTTTGACTCCCAGTCTTCGTATTGGAGATAATTTTATACTGGGGAATGCAATTCGGTAGGAAGATTGTTAATTCTTTTTGGGGGGAATGGAGCAAGTAAGAAAGATTAGTGGATCTGTATGTATACATGTATGTAGGTGTGCTTGCATATCTCTGGTGCCTGCAATATGTATACATGTAGGGATGAGATTCTAATTAAATATAAAGAAATTAATTTGTCTGAAGAATTTACATCAGTAGATAGGTGTACATTTTGCTCTTGGGAAAGCAAAGCATTCCTACGTAAAGAGCTGAGGTACAGTCCAGATGCTTTGCTGCAGTTACACTCAGTGTTGAGTCTTTGCTTGTGTGTAATTGTCTGAAGACACTGGAGAATCTGTGTTCTCTGGGTGTATGTATGTGTGTGTGCATGCACGCATGTTTATCAGGAAGAGTGACTGAGGCATTGGACCCTTTCTCTCCAGGGTCATGTTTCCAGATGGAGAAGCTTTGAAATGAATCTCTGAAATAAGAAGTTTGACGAGGGAAGACGAGACGGTCTTGGATGGGAACAGCATAGTAGGGTAGGAATGGGAAGCAATGTATAGTCCCCAGGCAGTGTGGTGGAGTGGAGAGGACATCATCTGACTGACAAGCAGCTGAGATTCTAGCCCTAGGAATGCTACCAGCTTGTTAGACAACGTAGGGGAATTCTCATCCACTCTCTGAGCCACGGAGTACTGCCCGTCTGCTCTTCAATATTCTGCTCTTTAATCTTTCAATTCGTAGATGATTGAGTCCAGCCTAGATCATCTACGAGTTGAAAAAAGAGAGAAAATACAAGCAGTTCCCAACATGGGGCCTCCCCCTCTGTCTTCACACCCACTACTGAAATTGAACTGAGGGGCTTTGCTCTGACATGAGTTTCCAGAAGGAAATTCTCCGTGGCTATGTGAAGACCAGCCAGAGGTATCAGCCCCTGGCCAGAGAGCGGTATGTCTGCAAGTGCCTACAGGTAAGAGCAGTCACCCACCCTCCAGGGCAGGTTCCTGCAAACATGTTTGCTTTTATCTCTCCCAAGAAGATACGTATGCACACACGCGTGCACACATCCATACACACATGTATACATATAATTATTAATCCAAGTATATTTCTACTGTCCCCCACCCCCACCAAAAGGCCTTTTCAGGGTCCCTTGAATTGAGGTAGGCAAGAGGCTGGGTCCCAGCACCTCAGCTCCTGTCTTTAGTTTCCTGCCTGAGAGCAGAAAGGCTGCCTCTTACCTTGAGAAAGTAACAGCTGCCGAGTCTGGAAGCCATGCTAACAGCAGTAAAACTCAGCATTTTTGCTGAGTAGGGAAGCCTTTAAAAGGCAGCCGGGAATCAAATCAATGGCTGGCCCGAAAGCCCACGTCCAACACTACCTAGCCAGGGTGGCCAAGGGACTACTCTATCAAGCCTCCTAGGAGGTGGAGAAAAGAGGAAAGTGGGCCTTGACCCAACCTATCTTCCTCACTGAGATTCTTCCCATGGTCCCCTGCCCTTGGCTGTATTCTGGAATCAAACAAGAGATGCAAGGTGCAAACTGACAGGGGTTTAAGTTGATCACCGCCACATTCGTCATGGGTTCCCACCCACAGCTTTCCCAAACTGTAGATCTCCCTCAGCACGGACATGCACACACACATACGCACAACACACACACGCACACGCACGCATACACACACATGCACATAAGCTCTCTGCCTTCTCCCAATAGCCCCCTAACTCCAGTGGAGCCACAAGAGACACAGTTTAGGCTAAGATTCTCTGGGGGCTTCTCAAGCCTCCCTGACAAGACGAGGTAAGAAGAATCTGTCATTGGGAAGTGCCCCATCCATCTCCTTCCATGTTATTCGGAGCTGCCCCTAAGTGACATTTCCTCTGAGACCCTGTGCACCTGTGACGGATGAGCAAGTCCCCGAGGACACCTTCTCCTTACCCCCAGGGGCATTCATGCAAACTTGCCCAGCTCTTCCCTCAAAGCACCAGTGCAGGAGGTGCTGTCAGGCTGGTGTGATTACAAATAGAGAGACAGGGCACTTGCTACCCCAGACTCACCATGCCCCAGATAGAGAGCTCACCCTGACTTCCCCCTTTCTCTGTCACCCATTATCCAGTGCCTTCACATTCCCATCAGAATCCTGGAGTCTGCCCAGTGTGGAATTTAAAGTGACAGTGTCTCATTTGTCTCAGGGTTTGGTCATTTCTCTTACATATGAAACGGTGGGTCCGAGTGTAACTGGACTCCATCATTTGGAAAAATGTTCCTTCAGGGGTACCAACATAAGGCCAAATAAGGTGCCATTCATTTCCCCATAATCCTCCCAAAGCCCAAGCCCAGAACCCAAGATGAAGTCCACGGCGGGTTTCCCAATGGCTACGTGATCCTGTAGTAAGGATCCCATTCCGTGTAAACTGGAGAGACCTAATTAAAAAGACACAAGCGCACACATACAAACACATACGTACAAACATGCACACACACAAGGCTCTGTAAGTAGGTTAAAGGACTTCTCTGTACCCTCTCCCCTATACACACACACACACACACACACACCACAAACACACGCATCAAACGCAAACGACGCCGCACACGCAAACACACACTAGCACCACATCAAGTTCTCACCATGGTCCACACGTCGGGAGCGCGCGGGGGCACACACGCCACTCACTGAAACCCGCAGTTAACCCTTTGAGTCCCAGCACAGGGGCCCCCTCCCCGGAACCCGGAGGACGTGGTGGTGGCAGGCTGCCGCGTGAAGAGGGGACGGGGTGCCGGGAGGGAGAGGGGGCGGGCGGGGGCGCCCCGAATGTGGTCCAGGGCCCGCTCCAACGGCAG